GTAGCTTGCTTTCTCACTTTTGCCCTCTCTCTCTCTCTCTCTCTGGACAAATAAAAATAAATGAATTAATAAATAAAATTAAATAAATAATTACAAAAACTTTCACTTGTTTAAAAATAAATAAATAAAATAAATGAATGAATAAATAAATTTAAAAAATAATACTCTTCCAGGGCTAGTTGGTGGCAAGATGGTGAAGGCGGCTGAATTCCACGTGGCTGACTGAATGGTTCAAGTTCCAGACCTGGCAGCTTGCTTTCTCACTTTCTCTTTTATCACTCTGTGGTCAAATTAAAATAAATAAATGGATAAATAAAATAATTTTGTTTAAAAAATACTGAGGACCAGCTGTTGGCATAATGGCTATGTCGCTGGACTCCATGTAGTTAACCGTGGTTCGAGTCCCGGACCCGGTGGCTTAAACTCACGCTGGGCGTGTGTGCATATGTGCCCCAAGATCCCAAGAGGAGAATGGAGGAGAAGGGATTGCGATGTGGCCATCCCCCCGGGGGGGTGATTTCTCGCTTTCTGTCTCTCTCTGTCTTTCTGGCAAATACACGTGCCCTATAGCAAAAAAATAAAACCTCTTTAAAAAAAAACCAGAAAATCGAAATTTGTCCACACACACACACGCGCGCGCACGCACTGGCCGTAGAAGTGCCAGTTTGCAGCAGGCTGGACAGCAGCACGGGGGTAAAACAGGGTACTCTGCAAGGCCATCCCACATGGGAAGGCTCCCGGCTCAAGTCCAGACCTCCCTGAGTGCAGGGACATGTGTGTGCCCACGACCCCAGCCAGATGAGGCTGCGGTGGATCACGGCATCAAGACCCAGCTGGGGGGGGAGGAGCGTGCTCTCGCTCTCACCACTGAAATAATAATAATAATAATAATAATAAACTCAAAAAGAATTGCCGGGGCCAGCAAGTGGTGTAGTGGTTAAGGCTCTGGACTTCCACATGGTCTTGGTCAACTGCACTTCAAGTCCCAGACCCGGTGACTTGAAAAGTCATGCCAGCACCCGTGCATGAGAGCCCCAAATCCCAAGACTGGAGAAGGGATTGTGGCGCGGCCATGTCCCCTGGGGGGAGGTGATTTTTCTCTCGCTTTCCCTCTGACCAGCGTGCACCCTATGGCAAAAACCTTAAAAAAAACACAAAATTGCCAGTTTGCGCCTTCCCCCCTCCCACCCCCACTGAACCTGCCTTTTCCCTGTGACATCTCACCTCCTGACACAGGTTCGATGACCTCCTACAGCTAGGACCTCTCAGAGCCGGGCTCACACAGGCCCCTGGGCTCCTCATAGGCTGAGCCCCCGCTGAGCCCAGTGCCATTCCCCAAACCTGCCCACTCCCCTGGGTTCCCCATTGCCGGCAAGACCCCACTCTGTCCCTGTCACCAGACCACGTGTCTGAGCGCCATGCTCCCCACCCCCTCTCAGTCCCAGTACCCGGTACCCAAGCTCCACCCTCCTGCCCCCTTAATCTGTCCTGTAGCCCCCTCTGACCAGCTCAGAACTTTTCTGCTCCCACCTGGACCCTCAACCCAGCCTCTTCCCTGCCTTCCCAAACTCCCGTTCATCCTTCCCACACCCAGAGGCGACTCCACCCCTTCCGTGGCTCCCCAGCACCCCAGGACACAGGTCCAGCCCCCCGGGTGTCCTCCAGGCCCCCTTGGTCCCCGATCTGTCCTGTAGCCCCCTCTGACCAGCTCAGAACTTTTCTGCTCCCACCTGGACCCTCAACCCAGCCTCTTCCCTGCCTTCCCAAACTCCCGTTCATCCTTCCCACACCCAGAGGCGACTCCACCCCTTCCGTGGCTCCCCAGCACCCCAGGACACAGGTCCAGCCCCCCGGGTGTCCTCCAGGCCCCCTTGGTCCCCGCCTTCGGCCTCCTCAGCTGCCTTTCTCATGACAACGGCCTGGGCCTCGCACTCTGAACTTTGCCCCATTTTCAAACCAAGCCCCCTGGTCACTGGGGCTTTCTGCAGGAGCTGCTCCCGTCTGGATCACTTCCATGCCCTCTCCAGCCCGCCTCCCACAGTCCAACTCCAACTTGGCCATCAGATGTGGCCTCACGGGCGCTCCTCCACCAGAAACCACTGGCGACACCCTGTGGCCCGTCCCCAGTCTTAGCCAGGTTTGCCCAGGCCCCCCCCCTGGCAGTCCACCGACCGCCCCTGGGGTGTCTTCCTCACCAGCCAGACCAGCGGCTGTGCAAGTTTCTGACACCACCCCCCTGCCCTGCCGGTAAGATGCCTCTGAGCACTGGAGCCACGACGTGCGTGGTTCACGTCCACACCCCCTGCAAGGCCACGGCCCCACACAACACGCCTGACGGCGCACTAACGCGGGAACCAGAGCAGTCCCCACACCCCGCAGGGTAGCCTGAGAGCAGGACGCCCCAACCCACTGCGAAGACTGCCGCTGCGGGCCAGGCGCACCCCGCGGGCTGCCCACACCCTGTCTAGTGCCAGCAGTGCCCCGGGCACCCAGCCTGAGTCCTTCCAGTGGCACGCCCAGATGTCGCCCCGGTTTCCAGTGCTGGACGCTGTCGGGGGCTATCACAGGAATTAACCTGTTCCACTCTCACTGTAACCCCGCGGGGGAGGCTCTGTTTTACCGCACAGTCGAGAAAAGAGGCCCAGAGAGGGGTGGTGGTTTGCCCAAAGCCACACAGCACATGGCTCAGGAGAATTCGCTGACCCCAGGCAAGGGCCGCTAAGTACGCAGTCCGAGCCTCCCGGCTTGGGAGCTCTGTGTGATGGACAGACGGATGGGCAGATGCGCGGATGGACGGGTGGACAGATGCACGGATGAACGAGTGAACACATGAATGAAGGCAGCCAAAAGAGAGAAAAAGCGAGGCAACGAGACAGAGACACGAGGAGAAGCAGGACGGAGCCCAGGAGTTCATCGCCGACCAAGAGGGGCACAGACCCAGGGCCTCCCCAGGAAAGGACGCTCGCAGGGAACGTCCTTGGGAGGGTCCTCAGTGCCAGGAACCGGGGAAGGGGCGGGCCGAGGGACGGCGTCTGGGGGGGTGGGGCTGGGGACGCCCCGGACTGGGACCGAACGCCTCACCCTGGGTCTGTGGGGTCAACTATGAACGTCGTGCAGGTCTTCTTCCTGAAGATCCTGGGGATCCAGCTCTGGGAACAGGAACGAGAGGCGGGGGGCCGGGGGGGTCGGTTCAGTCCATGGGCCCCGCTGTCACCCGCCCGGTGCCCTAGTCCCAGACCCGGATGCTCGAGACCCAGCGCCCTCCTCCCCCAGGTTCAGGAATCTCTACCGCAGCCGCCCTCCTACCCGTCCCCAGGAACCCCACAATCTGCGCCCCTCCACCTCCTCCCTCTGCCCAAGAATGTGGGTCTCCGGCTCCCCCACCTCCCCGGGAACTAGGAGCCCAGGCCCTCGGAACCGGGGCCCGCGTCGTACCTGCTCCTTCTCGGGGCCCACCATGCTGCCGCAGCCCTGCAGCCCAGCGGGCGCCCCACATTCCCTCCACCAACCTCCCCTACTTTCAGACCCGCCCAGGACAAACCGGATCCGTCAGTTCGCGGCCCAGCCCGGGGCGGGGCCAGGCCTGGGAGGCGGGGAGTCCCGGAGGCTGGGGCAGCCCGAGGGCGGCGGAGGGAGCGCGGGAGGGGGGGCACAGACCCAGAAAGGGGTGTCAGAGATGAGGGGAGGGACACGGTGATGGGGAGAGACACAAAGACTTGGGTGTGGAGCAGAGACTCAGACAGGAGGAGGCAGAGATTTGGGGAGAGGGGGTACACTGACCCAGAGACAGCGGGAGACAGAGATTTAGGAGGAGCCAGAGAAGCAGAGGTGTGGGCTGCAGAGAGGAGGGGCCCATTGACCCAGAGAGAGCGCAGAGGCTTCGTGGGGTGCAGAGACTCAGAGTGAAAGGGAGCCCTGCGGGGCGAGGCTCACAGAAGTGGATGCCAGGTGGACGGGACACGGTGACTGAGGGGCGACAGACACTTAGCCGGGGGCAGGGACAGCCCCTGGTGGTGGTTACGGCAGCTAGTTGGATCCCACAGAGCCCACCGCGGACTTGAACACCGTGCCCCAAGTTCCAGCAGGACGGACAGATGGAGAGGGTTTGCGGCACGACCACACGGGGGCGCTTTCTCCCCTCTTTCTCACTCGCATCCTGGCAATTAAAACACAGGGGCGGAGTTTTGGTGGAGGGGTACATGGGCCCAGAGAGAGGGGGACAGCTCAGAGTGAGGGGGACAGAGTCCTGCTGGGGGTGGGGCCCTGAGAGAGTGGGAGACAGAAATGAAGGGGCCCATAAAGAAGACGGAGGAGCCGGCAGGTGGCGTGGTGGTTAGGGTCGCTGGACTCCCACCCACGCGGCCAACCCTGGTTGGAGTCCCGGACCTGGCGACTTGCTTTCTCACTTTCTCTTTCTCTCTTTCTGTCCCTCTTTAGTCAAATTTAAATAAGGTTAAATACAATAATTATTTTTTAAAATTATTTATAGAAAAAAAAAAAAAGACCGGTGGAGCCCCAAAGCCCAGTGAAGGCAGGTGAGTGGGAGACCGGCAGGCAGGCAGGCCGGCCGCTGTCCCTGCCAGCTCTCTGTTGAGGACAGCTGGGGCCTGCGTAACCTGAGCCCTCGTCCCCTCCCCTAGCTGTATTTATAGCCCTGGCCTGGACAGGTCTCCTGCTCCCACATCTGAGTGCCAGGGACAGGAGGTCACGGGCATGGGGGGCAGGGTCTCTTTCTCCCCGCCCCTCAGCCCCCATATTGGCATCCACTCTGGCTGGAAACACACCCGAGTCTAACCAATCCTCCCACTGCAGGGGTATGACCCCTCTATCCCATCCCTCTGCCCAGAGGTGTTCTGGGTCCCCCAACCTGATCCGCTAAAAATGGGGGCTTTTGTCTTTACAGCTGCCAAATACTTGTAAGCAGTGGAGCGTCCAGTTCCTCCTCGCCCTCTCTCCCGGCCAGGGGAGACCCCTCTGCCCAAACCCTCCCCAGCAGCCAGGAGGAGGCCAGCAGGGGAGGGGCAGGCGGCTCTGACCCAGAATAACTCATGTCCAGAGTAAATTTAGCCATAGAGAGGGGAGGGGGAAGACCCTATTGGCTAGGGAGTGGGGAGGGAGGGCCCAGGACAGGGGTTAGGGGGCTCTCCAGTCAGCCTCAGGGGGGCGTCCAGAGCAGCTTAGGGGAGAGGAAGACAGACAGCAGAGACCGAGGGAGACATAGTGAAGGAGAGACGCAGAGAGCCAGGCCCAACAGGGGACAGACCCCATATTTGCCCCCATAGCCACAGACGCAGCTGCAGCCAGCCCTGGGAGAAGCTCTGCTGCTTGTCTGTCCCCATGGGCCACTGTGGGCCATGGCTGCACACTTCTGTCCTCTGGGCTGCCGTGGCCAGCCTGCTCCTCCCCCCGGCCATGACCCAGCAGCTGAGAGGGGCTGGGCCAGGCCTCAGCAACTGGAACAACAATGCGGGAGTCGCCGGGCTCGCAGGGGACGCGGCCGAGTTTGGTCACCATATCCGCAGTCACGGAGACCGTCAAGATGAGGATGTCTCCACAGAGAACGGGCATCGTCTCCGCAGCCACAGAGACCCTGGGGAGAAGGACGAGGCTATCTCTGGGGAGTATGGCCACAGGTACCCAGGCCGCCCGGTGGGAGACGAGGATGGCTCTGAGGAGGAGGTCTTCACAGAGCATGCTCGGCCAGCCCCTGGGCACCGAGGCCAGGGGAATGAGGAGGTGGGAGGCTCAGCTGAGCATGGGCACCACATCCCCCGCCACGGGCCCCCCCCCCCCCCGCCACGGGAGCCAGGGCCATCTAGACGAGGATGAGGACGAAATCGTGTCCAGCGAGCACCGCCACCGCAGCCTCAGGCATGCCCGCCGAGGCCACAGAGGGGACGACGGTGAGGAAGAGGAGGTGGAGGAGGAGCGGGAGGAGGAAGACGTCTCTGTTGAGTATGGACACCAGGCCCACAGGCATGGAGGCCACGGGGAGGAAGAGGAAGAGGATGAGGATCCCTCTGAAGAACACCACCACGTTCCTAGCCACAAGCACCACGGCCATGAAGAAGAGGAGGAGGAGGAAGATGATGCAGTCTCCTCAGAATATGGACACCACGTCCACTTGCACCGAGGCCACAAGAAGGAGGAGGATGAGGACGTCTCAGAGGAACACCACCATCATGTCCTCAGGCACGGAAGCCACAGAGAAGAAGAAGATGATGTCTCCGATGAGTATGGACACCAGGTCCACCTGCACCGAGGCCATGGGAAGGAAGACGAAGAGGACGCCTTAGAGGAGCACCACCATCATGTCCCTGACCACAGGCACCTAGGCCACAGAGACAAGGACAATGAAGATGACGATGTGTCCACCGAACACTGGCACCAAGTTCCCAGACACTCCCATCACGGCCTTGGAGATGAGAAAGAAGAAGAAGTCACAGTCAAGTTCGGCCACCATGCTGCAAGCCACCAACCCCAACGCCACAAGAGGGAGGAGGAGGAGGACTTCCAAGGTGATTCTAAAGCAGAAGACCTTGGCCATCACCAGCACGGGGTCCCCAGGGAAGAAGAAGACATGTCTGCTGAATTTGGCCACCAGGTCCCCAGCCATAGACAACAAAGCCACCAAGATGAAGAGAGTGGTCATGGTCACAGAGGGTCCATCGAAGAGGAGATTAGCCACCAGCCTCCCGAACACGTGGGGGTCGTGGATAGAAGCCGCTTGAGGGAGGATGACTCTGAAGAGGAAGAGGAGGAAGACCACAGCACCCATGAGGAAGATGAAGGTTCAGACCAGGGAGAGGAAGGTGCCCACCATAGCAGTCTGGACGAGGAAGAAGAGGAGGATGAGGAGGAGGGTCATGGCCTCAGCCTGAGCCAGGAGGAGGAAGATGAGGAGGAGGAGGAGGAAGAGGAGAGGAGGGAGGAAGAGAGGGCTTCGGTTCAGGTCCCACTGAGCCAAGACCACAGGGAAGAGGAGGAGCTGGAGGAAGGAGAACTGCCATTCACGATCATCCCCGATCCCCTGGCCAGGAGGGAGGTGGCAGCAGAGGCTTCCAGTGAGGAGGAGAGTGGCGAGGACACAGGTGAGTGGCCGGCCGGGTGGGGCAGGGAGGAAGGGAGTCAGCCTGTGTCACTGCTATCCTCCTGTCCCCACAGGTCTGCAGGACGCCCCAGTGTATGGGAACTACCAGCCAGGGTCCCTGTGTGGTTACTGCTCCTTCTGCAACGTATGTCCCCACAGATGCACATGCAATCTGTCCCTAGCGTTTATCCCGGGGGCCCTGGGGTGCCATGAGAGGGCTCTGAGCACAGGCAGGACAGGAACAGTTCCTAGTGAGGAGAGATTTCTGGGGCCATGTGAGGGACAAACAGGAGGCTGGGAGGAGGCTGAGGCGATGGTGCGGGAAGGGAGAGGACTAGATTTGAGCTGCACCAGGGAGGTGGGGACATGGACAGGCGCGGTGGCAAGGAGGGGACAGGAGGATTGACAGGATATGGCGAGAATAGGGAGGGGGACACCAGCTGGAAGACATGTGTTCTTCGAAGTAAGAACCAGGGCCAGGGGAGAGGAGAAAAGCGGGTGTGAGGGGAAGATGCTGAGGTCGGTGGTGGAGGCCAAGAGGGTGAGGAGTCTGGAGAGGTGTCCAGGGGTCAGGAGTGGATGACCACGAGGGGTTAGGGTTTCCGGCTAAGCAGGCTCTGCCGGTCCCCAGAGATGCACCGAATGTGAGAGCTGCCATTGTGACGAGGAGAACATGGGCGAGCACTGCGACCAGTGTCAGGTGAGACTTCCCTGGGTCTGGAGGTGCCACCAGGTCCCTGGGCCATCTGAGCACCCCAGCCCTAAATCCTGGCCTCTGATCCCAAACTGACCCTTAGCAATAATGTAACCTTGAGCCCACCATAACCCCGCCTCCAGCCGGACTCCGCCCCTGACCACGCCTACCTCCCCTCTCCGTCCCCAGCACTGTCAGTTCTGCTACCTCTGCCCGCTGGTCTGCGAAACTGTCTGCACTCCTGGTGAGCACGGGCGGGGCCGGCCTGGAAGGCGGTGGGGCGCACCCATGCAGGCAGGCGTGGCCAAGGCTGTGAGCCGGTGGCAGTAGCGGGGTCTGTTCTGCAGGAACTGGGGTTACTGAGGCCAAGAGGTTAGAAAGCCTGGAGGGGCGAGGGGCGGGCCTAAAGCCGAGTGGGCGGGCCCGATGCCAGTGGACAGCGAGGAGGCGGGGCTGGTGAAGGGCAGAAACACCCAGAACCAGAAGGGGCGGGGCCGTGGAAGGAGTCCCAGGAGGAGAAACGCACTCTGAGAATGAGTTAGGAAAATGAGGCGGGGCTAGCCCTAATCTCGCAGTCCACACTGATTAGCCCCCTGGTTTCGCTCGTGGAGTACCCCTCAAGCCTCTTCTCTCTGATCTCCCACAGGAAGCTACGTCGACTATTTCTCTTCGTCCTTATACCAGTAAGTGTAAAGGGGAGGAGGGTGAGTTTAGGGACCCTGTATTTTTGTTGTTGTTTTTGTTTTTTGGAGAGGTTTTTGCAACATGTCGCCTGCACTCGCCAGACAGAGAGACAGAGAGACAGAAAGCGAGAAATCACCCCCCAGGGGGGGATGGCCGCGCCGCAATCCCTTCTCCTCCAATTCTCCTCTCGGGATCTTGGGCACGCACACACACGCGCCTGGCGTGAGTTTAAGTCACCGGGTCCGGGACGCGAACCGCGGTCGACTACGTGGGAGTCCAGCGACATACATGGGAGTCTAGCGACATAGCTATTATGCTAACAGCTGATCCCTGAGCACCCTGTTTTGAGAAATGCTGCCCTGCTTCAAATTATCTTCCCCATCCGTGAAGTTGGCAGGGTGATGCTCTCTAAGGGTCCTGGGGCGAGCTTTGGACACTTCGGCTATTTCACCTCAGCCTCGTCCCCTCCAGAGCCCTGGCGGACATGCTGGAAACGCCGGAACCCTGACCTGGCCGCGCTGCTGCGGCTGCGGCTGCCACGTAGATATACCTCCCCTCGCCCGCCAACCCCTTTCCACGAGCCATATTTATTTCTCTGAATAAACGTGCTCCCCGAAATGTCAGAGTCAAGCGTGGGATCTGGATTCTCAGGGCGCCAGGAGAGGGGGTCCTAGACTCGGGCCTGGGGAATAAATGGCGCGGGAGTTGGGGGCTGGACTCCTGAGTCCGCGAGGTGGTTGGTTTTGCTTAACGTCCTGACCAAAAAAAACAGTCAACCCGGGAGTTTTTTGAAACAGTTCTCTTTACCCGTGATCACTGAGTGACGCCTGCAGCGGGGTGACCGACCGGGAGTCAGAGGCGAGGACTCCCCCACCGTCCCCTGTCCCCCCACGCCACGTCGTCCAGTGGCATCGTGGAAAGAGGATTCTCCCATGCAAACCCCGGAGCCGGAGGGTAACGGGGAGCGCAATTCCGCGCCCCCCGCCCCTGGGGCACGGACACGGCCACAGCACGGGGGCGGGGAGGCCCCGGGGACACGAGACACGGAGGAAGGGGAGGGGACCCCGCCCGCAGATGACCCCGGGGACCGGCGACCAGAAGCGGCGGGGCGGGGCTGAGGGGCACAGGGGGCGAGGCTTGTAGCAGCGAGTCCCCCTCCCCTCCGGTCGGACGAAGAAGGAAGACTTGGGCCCCGCGACTGGGCAGGAAACGGGGGAGGGGGCAGCCTCCCCCCGCATGCGGCCCGGGAGGGAAGCCCCGCCCCCTTCCCGCGGGTAAAGGGCACCCGTCTCCTGTTGGAAACTGATCAATAAATTACAAAGTAGAGAAAAAGGGAGGCGGAAGTTTGGGGCGGGATTTCTTCCGGCCCTCTTCTTTCCCCCTCTCAGTCCAGTTCATGTGGTTTGGTCCAGGCCCAGTCCATTTGTGAGGCGGGGACACGCACTCCCCGCTCGTCTGTACAGTTGGTCCAGTCCGCGGCGAGCTCCCCCGCCCGCTCTCCCCGGCGAGACCAGACTCTGGGCACGAGGGGGAACAGCCCAACCTCTGGAGGAGTCTTCCATCTGAGAGAGGTCACCTGCATGACGCGGGGCAGCGCGTGGAGCAGTGAAGATCCACGGTGCCGCCCCGCACCCCCACGGCCGCCCCGCACAGTCCTCACCTGCAGGCCGACACTAGCAGGAGTAGGTCCGGACTGAAACGCCGTCTGCCCGGGAACTTCCAGAAGTCTGGCCTGGAGGAAAAGCGAGCAGCCGCTCAGCCTGGAGCACCCGCAGCCCACCTTTCTCCTTAAGGGTTTCTCTGAGCTCTAGCCTCGACCCCAGGAACCTTGAATTTCCATTCCCGCGCACCCGCCAGGCTCCACGTCGGTTTCCCTCCCTTCCCCGCAGCCGGGGACTCAAACATGGCACTAGGCGAGCTCATCTGCCACCCAGAGGAAGGAGTCTGGAATACTGGAGAGGTCCATTTGTCAGGGGTAGGGGAGAAAGAATGAGGCCATTTCAGAATCTGGACGGTCGAGCTGGTCCCTTTCCCACCCTGGGGAAGAGGGAGGAGGAGCTGTCGCGTTTGTGAGCCCCCCACCTTCCGACTGCAACTTGCGGAGAGGGAGCCCCGGCGAGCCCAAGGCTCCTGCTGCAGCCGAACGGAAATTAGGGGGCAACATCTCGGCTGAGTCGGGGGTTACGCCTCGGAGGTCCTTCTCTCGGAACATCTTCCGCCAGGATGGGGAGCGGCTGAACGACTTGGCGCTGTCCTAGGTATAGAAACCCGGCAGCCGATGAGAGTTGGGTCCCCTTCTGACCCCTCCCCGCCCTTGACTCCACCCCTCGCGTCTCTCCCTTGGCCCCGCCCCCATAGCTCCTCCTCGCGGGATTCCGCCAGGGGCGGGGTCTCCAGACCTGATGCCGCGCCCACCTCGTCCAGCCGTCTGTCTGTGCCTAAGGAGATGAGGTTGCTGAATTCTTTCTCCAGGAGCTGCCGGGCCTGAAGAGGGGAGGTGGGTGGCGAGGGGTTGGAGCGTGCAGTCTGTGAAATGCCGCGCACGCTGCAGCGGAAGGTGGGGGGCCGAGTGGCAGCTCACCTGCGCGTTCTGTGTGGGGATCTGCAGAAGCAAGGCTAAGTCGGAGTAGTCGAAGGTCTCATCCAGGGCCAGCAGCGCCCCGTGCACCCCGCTTTCCGTGAGGTTCGTGGCGAATTCCTTTAGGCCCAGCCCGGATACCCAACCCATGACCCGCTCATTGGACCACACCATCACGTCTGGGGACAGAAGGAACCTTTAGACGGGGCCCTTCCCGCGGCCATGCCCGTCCAGTTTTAGCCCATACCTCCATCCCCATTTTCTCTCCTGACCGCACCCCGTATTGACTCAGTCTCGAGGGTGGTGCTCTTCTTTGGCGCCCGCCCCCATTGCTCCTCCTACTCCTCCGGCCACTCCCCTTCCCCAAAGGACTCAGAGGCCTCTACGCACGCACCTCGGATCTGGGTCTGACTCTCTTCCCTCCTCCGTTCCAAGTCCTTCCGGTCATAGTTGAGCCGTTTCAGGCACATGATCCCATAATGCAGACTCACCCTGAGCAGCAGCACAAGTGGAGTCACGGAAGCGCATTCACAGCCCCACTGGCTGCCATTCCTGTTTGCCCTCCCCATTGGCTGTCTACTTCTGGGAGAGGGGCATCGGCAGTTCTTATTGGCTAACTCAGAAGGGCGTGGGGTGAACTTGCCAAGGTCTCTCAGGCTCTGAGCTTTTCCTAGGGGCTATCTTACCAGTGGTGGAAGGGGCACAGAGTCAGGGATTCCTGACAACCCAGGCTAAAGGGCCAAAGATAATCCTAAAACTATCCCATCACCAGTCCCATTGGCCAAAGCCCCTCTAGGGGTGGGGCTTCCCCTTGGACTGTCCCCACTGGCCAGGCAGCCCCCACCTGTGGAAGCTGTCCACCATCTTGAGTTGGCCCCGGAGCTCCTTCTTGTTAAGGTGATCTAACATTCGAGCATCCACCAGCGACTCCATGAAGTAGCTGCGGTATTGGGGCAGCCCCAGGCTGGTTAGCCAGTCGTTCCCCACCCACTCGTGGTTCATGTCGCCATATGCCAGGATCTGGGGCCATGGGCAGGTGAGGGAGGGGTCAGGCCCTCTGGCCCCTTCCCATGTGTGTAGGAAAGGGGTACAGTCCAGCCCCCCCCAATCCAAGTGAGTTTTTTTCCCCATCCCATGGCAGGATAGTGACCAATCTCTGCTCTGGACAATGGACCAATCCAAAGTTGTGTCCCACCCCTTCCTAATGACAGAACAGACTCTTGGCTACTTGAAGGCCTGGTCCTTGGACCTGCAGTGTCTCCATCACCTGTGGACTTGCTGCAACTGCAGATTCTCAACCCACACTCCGGGCCTACTGAAATGGGCTCCTGGACTCCCACAAGACCCCCAGGTGATGTGAACTACACACTACGTGTGGAAAAGCACTGACCCAACACGGTCCCAACCCAGCCTGACAGCTCTACTCCCCGAGGTCAGGATGGCGGATTCATCCAAAGTAGCGCTCTCCCCAACAAAAGACCATCACTCTTGAAAGGTCTTGCCAATGCTACTCTAAAGCGCCACATCTGGCCCAGGACAGTATCAGAAGTCCTTCACTCCTTTTAGCCTGAGACAACGCACACCTGCCCTGGCTGCAAAGGAAGACCACACTCCTGCTCCACCAGTGGTGAGCTCTTGCCTTCCTCTTAACAAAGTGTAGCTTCTCCTCCCCAACTTTTCATTCAGTGTTCCCACTTTGCCCAGCATAGCCACCCCTCCAACTTGAAGGAAAACAGGCTGCTCAGCAGCGCTCTCTAGTTATAGCAATGGACCAGCCCCTAAAGCCCCCGCAACCCGTGCTAATGGGATGGTCCGTGCACCAGGCTGACCACGAGAAAGTCTGGGCTTCCGCGTCACTCCCCATCGAGTCACAACGAAACAGTCCAGAGTCCACCAGCTCTGCGCAGCACCCCCCGCGGGATGATGGAATGTTCTGGAGAGGGGAGGGGCGGGGCTCAGAGAAGGAGGGGCGTCCATGCAGCGTGCACAGCCTGTTCATGCGCCCACGCCCCGCCCCGCGCCCCCTACCTGCTCCCAGCTGATCTCCTTGGTCTCCTGACCCGTTAGTGGGAAGAGGGGAGAGAAGGGGTGGGTTAAGGGGCAGGCAGAGGAGGACTGAAGGGACCAAAAGACAGCCACAGACTTGGCCCTGCCCCCGCCCCCAGGGAGGGTTAGTGCCATCCCCCAGGCGGCCCGCAGGGGGCACTCACAGGCTTGGTCGTGGCCGTAAGGGACTCCATCTCCTCGTGGGTCATCCACACGTTTCCTGTGGACTGAAGCATGTGGGGGGTGTTAAGGAGGGTGGGAGATGGCTTCATACAGCTATGCGCATCCCGCTTTCTAGCTCAGGGCCAGACAGTGACAGAAAAGGAACGGTCCTTTATTGGGCACCTGACACGTATCAGGCAGAAGAGCGTGGGCTCTGGAATTGGGCAACCTCAGACTGGAAACGGAGCCCTGCTGGCCGGGTGGCTGCGTGGTCCTGGGCAGGACCTCTCTGACCTCACCCAGTGGACAGTGAGGTCCAGATAAGGGCGGCGGGCACTGCAATAGGCAAATGTCTGGTGCTGGTGGTAGGGTCTTCCACATCTACGAGCTACTGCTCTGACAGCCCCTCGAGTCTGACTCCATGCATGGGTTCACAGTGATGTTGCTGCGGACCAGTGTCAGGCACCATGGTAGGTTCTGGAATACGGCCTTCGTGGTCGTGGTGGGGAGACACAATCAACATATTATAAATACTTGGGGAAATCTGAACATAGACTGACTAGATGAAAGGAACGATAACGTCGGTGCTGTCGGGTGCAACACGGGCGTGGTGCGAGAAGAGAGGGAAATGCCGCGGACGTAATTGGGGGCAGCCTGTTAGGATGGCCTCAGTTTCCGCTCAGACAGACACGCACCGGCAGCAAGTGTGGCAAAGGGCTACCGGCTGCCAGATTAGGTAATGGTGCGGACACACTCAGTGTTTGGAATTTCTCTTCATAGAGAGTGGGGAC